CCACAACGAGCCATGACCCCACCGTCGCCCCATCATGCCGACGCTCCTCCTCGCCGCGCTCGCGCTCGCCCTGGCCCTCTCCCACGCCGCCGCCGAAGGAGGCGCCGGGTTCTACGACCCGGCGCGGGTCACCCAGATCTCCTGGTGCCCCAGGTCAGCTCAGCCCCCTGCTTCCTTCCCTCCGGCCTTGCCTTTCCCTGTGTGCGGCGCGCTCGCTACCTGTTTGTCGATTTGCTTCTTGACAGCGCCAGGTTTGTTTGCTTGTGCGCGCAGGGCGTTCCTGTACAGCGGCTTCCTCTCGCACGCCGAGTGCGACCACCTCATCAAGCTGGTGAGTTGCTGCCCTCGGCAATGAGTTGGTCCTTGGGTTATAAAGTTGTAATTTTTGTGCTTTTGTTGCGCTGTTGTGGGGTTTAGGCCAAGGGGAGGCTGGAGAAGTCGATGGTGGCGGACAACGAGTCCGGGAAGAGTGTCATGAGTCAGGTGCGCACAAGCTCCGGCACCTTCTTGTCCAAGCGCGAGGTATGTGATTGGAAGAAGCGCCCTTGTTCTCTCCTTCAGTTTCAATTGTTTACATGCCTTGGGGTTCATATTAGTTCGTGTCAGACCAATTGTGTTGTTATAAGTCCACCTGCGTTGCGGATTGGCCATACAACATGTAGAAATTTTTGCTAGATCAGGCTGATGGTACAGCCGAAGGAGATAATAACTCTATGGATAGTTGTTATTTGCCCCTTCTTTCTTGAGATGAAATAAGAGTGAATATTAGCTGTGCTTGAGGGCAACAGAACCTGTGAATTGGTACAAGCCTTCGTCTTGAAAATGCGTGAGCAGATACAGTAGCTAATGGTTCTTGCCATTTGTGAAAATCAATCTTGATGAGTTAATCATTTTGGCAATTGCACATTCATATTTGCCTAGTGCAGTCGATGAAATGACCCTTGTAAAGCATGTTTCGGCTGTTCCTTCTAGCATGTGCAACAAACAACTAGAAATATTTCAAGATCACTAATTTGTTTCATTTCCTTTGACCTATTCAAGGATGAAATTATCTCTGGAATTGAAAAGCGTGTAGCTGCTTGGACGTTTCTCCCTGAAGGTAATACATGCAACCTTATTTTTCTGTTAGCCGTTTCAGAGACAGAAGGATTTCTGTATCTGACTAGCCTGTTTGTGTATCAGAAAATGCCGAGTCAATGCAGGTTCTGCATTATGAAGTTGGTCAGAAGTATGATGCCCACTTTGATTATTTTAGTGACAAAAAGAACATAAAGCGTGGTGGTCATCGGGTTGCCACTGTTCTTATGTACCTGACAGATGTGAAGAAGGGTGGAGAGACCGTGTTCCCAATTGCTGAGGTATGCCGTTGCTTCTGAGATTTACTTGGCCTTTTCTGTGACAAAAACGTTATTAGTTATCCGATGGATTATTCAGGGAAGAGATTTACAACATAAGGATGAAACGTGGTCGGAGTGCGCGAGACATGGCCTGGCAGGTAGCCTTCAGCCTCTTGCATGTCAAAAGGAAGGGTTTTCCATTTTACTGGCAATGTGCAGTACTGGCAACCACTATTTACATAACCCTTATCCTGAAACAAGGGTTTACTCTTCTCTTGCAGTGAAGCCAAGAAAAGGCGATGCGCTACTGTTTTTCAGTCTCCACGTTAACGCGACAACAGATCGGAGCAGTCTTCACGCGAGCTGCCCAGTAGTCGAGGGCGCGAAGTGGTCTGCCACAAAGTGGATCCACGTCCGGTCATTCGACAACCCTCCAGATGTTATGGCGGACACACGGTGTTCTGATGACAATGAGCAATGCCCTAGATGGGCTGCTCTTGGGGAGTGTTACAAGAATGCAAAATACATGGTGGGCACGAAGGACACCCTCGGGTCTTGCCGCAAAAGTTGCGGGGTCTGCGATGCTTGAACCCCCGCACCAATCTTAACTGAATTTGCATGGTTACTGAGATGTAGATTACAAAAGCAAATAGGTTCTTAGTAGCATGGCATTAGATGTTTACTCTTCTTGTCATGCAGTTTGACCTCAGAGCATCTTGATATACAGCAAAAAGGGAATTGACTTTGTTTCAGAAGAATTTGGACATAACCCGATGGTATCAAGTATTTCCAACATTGTCTTGCCCAAATTTCTTTCAGTTCTGACTGACATCTTAATAGCCGATATCCCAGAACAAAATTCTACTGATCTAACCTACCAAATCCACTCTGCGAAGTCAGATACTCCCCATTCCATGTATCAACTTGATCCTCCATTGTTGAAGCTATTAAGATGAACTGAAGACTGAAGTGTTTGACACATAAATGGTACCTGGAGTAGCCATCAGCCACAAAACTGAATGCCCACACACATCTGCGTGTGTGTTCCTCTTTCTCTCTTTTCCGAAAGAGGAACATCTAGCGCGCGGCAAAACCTCCTTGAATGGTTTTTAGTTTATTCACGACACGGTTTTGTAGTTGAAGTGAATTGTTTTGTATTACAGTCACCAAATGCTCAGGAGGTGAAGTGAATTTGTTTCTTGTTTTTGAGGAGAAAAAAGTGACCTGCTTGCTGAATAGTAACATGGAGTACTAGCTAGAGCCGCGAGTACATACATGGGACTGAAGCTCTGTGCGCTGCTGCTTGTGGGATCAGAAGCAAGAGTACAAACGCTGGGCGTATGCCGGGACCCGGAGGTAGAGGGTAAACAGGATGCCTCTCTGTCCCCACTTTGGTCTGCATCTGTTGCACTGCACAAAGCAGCCCCACCAAGCTTAACTGGATTTCAAAGCAGCCCCACCAAGTTTAACTGGACTTGTGTGGTTACTGACGCCAACTCCACCGCGCGACCCCATCCTGTCCGGCCCCGTCCGTTTGGGATAAAACAGACAAACTGGGCGGCCCAGCGTGCGGGAGCAAACGGACTTTTGTCCGTTTTGTGTCCGCTTTCGACCCACCCGCGCCCCAAGTTTGTGCCGCTTTTGGGGTGAAACGGACACCACACGGACACGCCAGCCGTCTGCGCGTGTCCTCCCCTGGCCCGCCCATCGGTGGCACAGGACGGGCCTTTTTCTATCCGCCCCCTCCCTCCCTTCGGCCGCAGCCCACTCCACTCTTCTCCACTCTTTCCCACTCTTTCCCTCGCCGCCGCCGCTGCCATTGCAGCCGTGCAGCTCGGGCGCGCGCTCGCCCAACCCCTTTCCCTCGGCGCCGCCGAGCTACCCAACCACGACCACCTGGTTTGCGCACCCGCCGACCGGATTTGGGGCGGATCCGGTCGGTCTTGAGCTCGCCCGGCTGTGGGAGGCCGGGCTGTGCCATGGACTGGCCGGGCACCTCGTCGGAAGGCCCTGGCAGGGCCGCAAGGCCTTGCAGGCAGTGGCTCGTCCTCTAGCCGCTCGGATCTGCACCGTCGGTGGCCCGCCAGCAGATACGCGAATGGCGGCCGGCCGGGCTCGGTGCTTGCCCAAAAGCTCGTCGGCGCACCGTTGCCCCTCATTAAGTGCGACCATTGCCCAAGAATGGTCGTGCGCCGCGTGTCTACAATGCCGGAACATCCCGGATGGGTGTTCATCAAGTGCTTAAACGATGAGGTATGTGCTCTTTTTAGCTTCGGTTTGTGCTCTCGGATTAGACTAGTTGTGCTAACTTCAATTTTTATTGTGTAGAATGGATGCAAGTTTTGGTATTGGGAAGAAGAGTACATCGATATATTGATAGAGCGAAATTTAGTACATGTTTGTGCATTTTTAGCTAGCCTAGAGGCTGTAGATGAGACAAGTGCACTTGTTGCTAGATTAGAGGCTAGGCACGATACTACGTGTGAGGAAGCAACATCGACTTCTGGCTTGAAGAAGAAAGGAGGTGCAACGTCGAGCCTCCTCCACAGATCAACAATGAGTGCATCGAGAAGGCCCTAACCCAACTCAAGGGAGTAGTTGTGGAAGTTGGGTATCTTCTTAAATGTATTCTTGTGGTTCTTGTTTTCTTTGGACTTGCTTTACTAGTCAAAATGTGATGATGTATTGTCATGTACCAAAAATAAATGATGAAAAAAAGTTAAGGACTTGCAAAGAAATGTTCCACGCGGACAAGATGCAGCCGGGATGCGTCCGCGTGCTGGGCGCACGGCCACCGCATCCCGGAAACTGTCCGGACACGACCCCATTGCCCTACCCAAACGGACAGAATCCGGACAAAACGGACATCCGTTTGGAGTCGCGCGATGGAGTTGACCTGATATGTAAATTACAAAACTGAGTAGGTTCTTAGTAGTATGGGATTAGAGCATCTCCAAAGCCGTACATCAAAACAGACACCCCAAACGTCCATGGACACGCCCGGACATGTCCGCGCACAGCGAGGCGACCATCCAACCCTATGCACCAAATATCCATCCCAGTCTTTTCCCAATATCCGAAGCACTAATATAATAAGTAAAGATGAATATCATCCTTGGTCCATAATCATGTTGTCCAAATATTCCAATGCAACAATAATTCAAATATAAAGGTTACAATTCAAACATGAAGTTTTTTGATAAAATAGTTCAACTTTGAATTAACTTAACTTATTGTGACACATCTTTGTTTCTCCCCTCGAAGTGCCCACAAATGCTCAACAGATCATTCTGAAGCTGCTTATAAGTTGCTCGATGACGAATCTGTTGATGCATTTAGATAAAATCCTCAAACATTGTCGAAGTCTTCCCTTTAAGATCACCCATGCGCTCAAATTTCAGACTGGCGAACTTTGTCATCCTCATCCTCCACAATCATGTTGTGCATAATCACACAAACTCAATGTCTCTGAATCCCATATTTTTGCAGGTCCTTGAACAACTGCAAAACGGGCTTGGAACACTCCAAATGCTCTCGTGACATCCTTTCTAACTTCTTATTGTCTTTAGGCAAAGCAAGATCTTTTCTCACCCTTTGGTTTAGAGATGGTCTTGACGAAGGTCGCCCACGTAGATACCATTGTAAAGATAATAGCCCATGTTGTAGTCATGACCATTGATGGTATAGTTGCACGGAGGAACTTCACCCTCACACAACCTTGCAAACAATGGAGAAACTGCAACATGTTGACGTCATTGTAAGACCCAGACATCCCAAAGAAAGAACGCAAAACCCAGAGGTCTTGTGATGCAACTACTTCAAGAATGAGGGTGAGGTTCTTGCAATGGCCCTGCTATTGCCCTTGTAGAGCATATGGACAATTCTTCCATTTCCACTGAATGCAATCCAGGGACCCAGGCATCAGGAGAGGAGGCTACATGCCATTAGACGACCCCACCACGTGGCCTCGGGGGGTGGGGCATGGCCAGGCCGCATGGGGCCCCTGTGGCTCCCTCCTTTGGTCCATCTTTGATCTCCAGTCTCATATTTTTCATAATTAATTCGAAAAAAATCCCCGACATATTTGGATCTCCGGAAAATTGTTATTTCTCTCCTGTTGCAAATTAGGTGCAGATTTTCAGTTGTCCCGTAATTTCCCTCTATATTTAAACCATACAATTTAAGAGAAAAGGACATTAGAATTGCATCGTATTGTAAAATATACCATTCAAAAAGGATAACTTACAATAGAAAATAGTGATCCAAATGGTCTGATCACCCCACGGCCACCATCATCACCTCCATAGACACCACCATCACCACCACCCCTATCCACCAACATTACCTCCATGGAAACCACCACCATCACCCCCACGAGTGGCCTCTGATTGGTCTATGATCTCTAAACGAGTGAGCTCCCAACAATTCCATGCCGTGGCATGTATCATGCTTGGGTCCATGGACATTGCAGCTCTCTCTTCAGCCTTCTTCTCTTTTGCAAGCCTTTCCTCCTTGAGTGTTCCTCCGCCTTCACCTTACTGTTGGGAAACGTAGTAATTTCAAAAATTTCCTACGCACACGCAAGATCATGGTGATGCATAGCAACGAGAGGGGAGAGTGTAATCTACATACCCTTGTAGACCGAAAGCGGAAGCGTTATGACAATGTGGTTGATGTAGTCGTACGTCTTCACGATCCGACCGATCCAAGCACCGAACGCATGGCACCTTTGTGTTCAGCACACGTTCAGCTCGATGACATTCCCCGGGCTCCAATCCAGCAAAGCGTCGGGGATGAGTTCCGTCGGCACGACGGCGTGGTGACGATGATGATGTTCTACCGGCGCAGGGCTTCACCTAAACTCCGCGACGATATGACCGAGGTGGAATATGGTGGAGGGGGGCACCGCACACGGCTAAGGAACGATCCGTAGATCAACTTGTGTGTCATGGGGTGCCCCCTGCCCCTGTATATAAAGGAGCAAGGGAGGAGGAGGCGGCCGGCCAAGGGAGGGCGCGCCAGGGAGGAGTCCTACTCCCACCGGGAGTAGGACACCCTCCTTTCCTAGTCCAACTAGGAGACCTTCCATGTAGTAGGAGTAGGAGAGAAGGAAAGGGAAGAGAGAAGGGAAGGAAGGAGGGGGTGCGGCCCCTCCCCTAGTCCAATTCGGACTAGGCCTTGGGGGGCGCGCGGCCTGCCCTATGCAGCCCCTCTCTCTTTTCCGTATGGCCCAATAAGGCCCAATACTTCTCCCGGCGAATTCCCGTAACTCTCCGGTACTTCGAAAAATACCCGAATCACTCGGAACCTTTCCGAAGTCCGAATATAGTCGTCCAATATATCGATCTTTACGTCTCGACCATTTCGAGACTCCTCGTTATGTCCCCGATCTCATCCGGGACTCCGAACTCCTTCGGTACATCAAAACTCATAAACTCATAATATAACTGTCATCGTAACCTTAAGCATGCGGACCCTACGGGTTCGAGAATTATGTAGACATGACCTAGAACTGTTTCCGGTCAATAACCAATAGTGGAACCTGGATGTTCATATTGGCTCCTACATATTCTACGAAGATCTTTATCGGTCAAACCGCATAACAACATACGTTGTTCCCTTTGTCATCGGTATGTTACTTGCCCAAGATTCGATCGTCGGTATCCAATACCTAGTTCAATCTCGTTACCGGCAAGTCTCTTTACTCTCCGTAATACATCATCCCACAACTAACTCATTAGTTGCAATGCTTGCAAGGCTTTAAGTGATGTGTATTACCGAGAGGGCCCAGAGATACCTCTCCGATAATCGAAGTGACAAAACCT